AGGAAATTCAAAACCCAATTCTACTCCTGGTTTGATTGACATGTTTTTGTAAAGTGGCAATTTATAATGATATTACACAACTCAGCAGATCACTGATTAGATCAAATTGTTGCTATTACTTTTGTCTGTAAAAATTGCCTTGTGCACTGAACAAGCCATGTTGCTTCACGTTTAAAACTCAAAAGCTCAATATGAAAAAATCAATGTTTGTTTCTCCACTTTGTCACTAATCTCTCAATGTGAGTCTCTATATAAAAATTACAGAAAAATAGGCATTCGTATTGCTAAAAGGATTGAATTTGTTTTTCCTGATTTTGTGTGCAAGAAGTAGAATTGTTTATGAACGTCTAATCAATGCAAAAATATTTTGCTGTTATAACTATGTCTGTTTTGTCTTGTAAAAAAGTCGTGCTCCTGGCAGATCTTTGTGGACTTTCAAAAGCCCCAATACAGCCAGAGCAGTACTGGCAGTCTAACCCTCTTGACATCCTATTTCATTCTTAGACCTCTTTGGCCATTGAAAGTTTTCTCTGCCTATTAAGAGTCTGCTGGAACAACATCTCTTGGGTGCAGAAAAATTCTAAATTCTGGTTAAAACAGTATAACTGAAGGCCTAATTTTGATATTTGAAACACGATATTGGACCAGAAAAAAAAAAGAGTCCTAATGCAATTTAAAATACAGAATAGTTTTTCAGGATAGATATTTTATAAGCTGAAGCATTTTAAGGGTTCAGTTTAAGAGTTGAGTTCAATTAAATTCAATTAAACTTGGCGTTCAACTGAATTTTAGCCAGCATCATCTTAAATTGTAACTTAACCAAAAGTACTGCTTAGCATAAACACAACCACATGGAGAAGCTTTTCTCTTTCTGTATTTTACACTTCATGTTTGTGTTAGTTAACACATCATGGATCCACTATTAGAAATAGATGGGGAAGTTGTTCACACCATATATTTTTGGGTGTCTAACTTTGGGTACTTAGATTGGAGCCTAAATTCATTCAGGCTGGAGCCATACTTAGGTATTCGGAGCTGTGTCCCCCCTCCCCAGAGGCACCTGCTTTCTCTCTCTGCAGCGGGATCCTGTGAAGTACATGATGTGAATAATTCCCTGCGGTTCTGTCACATGTTAACTAGGCACAAGTGGCTTCGTGTCAAGACACATGTATTGCACTCACCAGCTCATCCACTGGTCTTGCTTTGATCTCCTCTGTGGTCGGCTCCAGCTTAAATCCTGACAATGGAAACTCCTGTATGATTCTTCTGTACCATCTGGATCTGGTGGTCTGCAGTATGGATGTAATACTCTCGGTGTATTGAGTACACTGTGGTCTATATTCCCTGATTAACTATTGTGATATGTGTATGAGGTGTACTGGGAAGTGGTGGGGAATAGGGGAAGAAAAAAGGTACCCTAGCGGTATGCTACAAAAATCATTCTCCTTTCAACTTTGAATAGAAGGTTTTTAATTTCAGGATATGTGCACTGTTACACAAATGGCAACACATGTAACAATATTAGTGTTCAACCTGATTCATTCCTGTGCTTTTAATCTTTTACTTTGAGCGCTGTAGTTCACCAAACTGTTTAATGTTATTGTACTGTGATGTATATGCTGACATTCCAGTAATCATTTGTCCATAGAAATTGTTGCAAATAACTATGAGTTCACTAGGCTAATACTTTATGGAGTAATATTTTTAGAGCGGCTCATATAGAATAATTCATCAGGCAATTATTCTGTGTCTCTTAAGATTTTTAGTCAGTTAAGTAGTAAGTATTACAAAATTAGATTTAGTCTTAATACACAACTCATAAACATTCAAAGGTGAATACATGAGGTTTTTGGCTTACAAATGTAAAATGTCAGCAAAATATTAAATACTAAAACTTCAGTAGAAGAGACCATGGCCTAATTAATAAAATAGTATTCAACTATTTCTTTCATTTAAAGAAAACAGTGAAATGGCAAGGCCACATTTATTCCTGTAACAACTTTTGTGACAATTAGAAGGCCTGTGTCCTAATCAAAATCAGATTGACAAAGTGGTTCTAAATTCTCTGTGCACAATAACTGGAATCTCTGTAGATAACCTCTCTTTATGCTGCCTTTGCATGTTTTAATGCTGTCCAGAGTGATACCAATAGCTCTCCTGTGATGTACACATACAGTGTGAGTTCAGGTTGATGGACGTTTGGTAATGATTTCACCAGCAAGCCAGCGTGCTGTGGTCTGTACTTCAGTGGGAACCTCTGTGTATGTGTCACATCTAAGTGCACATTTCAAAGTGGACTTTTATTGTTGCATTCATTAATAGTTTTGCAGAAATGCACTGCACTGCTTAAAAGGAGAGGGTGGCTTGAAGTAGAAGGAAATATCGTAACATCAAATAACATAACATACAAGGGTGTGTAGTGATAGGACAAGGGGCAATGGCTTTAAACTGAAAGAGGGGAGATTTGGATTAGATATAAGGAAGAAATTTTTTATACTGAGGGTGGTGAGGCACTGGAAGAGGTTGCCCAGAGAAGTTGTGGCTGCCCCATCCCTGGAAGTGTTCAAGGCCAGGTTGGATGAGGCTTTGAGCAACCTGATCTAGTGGAAGATGTCCCTGCCCATGGCAGGGGGAGTTGGAACTACATGATCTTTGAGGTCCCTTCCAACTCAAACCATTGTATGATTCTAACATCTGAACCTGGCTAGCAACCTGCTGAAGTATGTTTTTTTGCCTGCTCTTGATCACCTATCTGTCCCTTTCTACCCTTTCTGTAGTGTTAAATGAGTTTACCAATGACTTGAATTCAAGCAACCCTTGAAGCATGAATGAAAAATGTTATTTTTGTTGCATATATTTTCTCCAGTGTCAAAAGATTTTTTTTTTCATTTCAAAAGAAATTTGTCTTGGACTTAGCAGTGAGAATTTATGGTGATTCTAAACTTATGAAGTTATTGAGAGAAAATGTGGACTAGTGTTTAATTGTACTTGACTGCCTCACAGACACATTTTCAAGACCTGTGTAAGCTCGTTTGGAACATCTGTTCCATTGACTTCAAACTGGAAACCTTACCAACAGCTTGGCTAAAACATTTCAAATTCCTTACGATTCAAGGTTTAGTTCCCTGGGAAAAAAACTCTGTGTTTGAATATGTATTGAGTCTAGTAGAAGTCAGATGTGAATGACCATTGACAGTATTTTCCAATACAAACTAGTATTTTTAAAAAGCTTTTTACTGGGGGAGGGAGGCTGCTGCTTAGCTTAAATTCCAATTACTAGAACTAATTTAAGGAACAAGAACATGCCTACTGGCATTTGAAGATTAGAAGAGGGGGGAAAAAAGATCTAGCAATCAATGAATGTAAGCAATTTAACCAAAATCACCAGAATCTTCATAATTGTGATTTGTGTTCACCCTTGTCAGTAGTAGCTACTGGTAGTTTTATATGCTGGTTTCTACATGAGCATTACAAGCTGTAGTTGCCAAAACACTCTTCTAATATGAAAAGCCTTGGTGCCTCAGATCCAGAAGGCCTACTTGAGCGTGCAGTTCAAGCATGAAACACACAAACAATTCTCTGTGCAGAGAACTGAGAGGATTAAAGCATGTTTTGGACAAAGTGGACAGGGGGGAGTATGTGCCTTAGAGAAGGATCACTTCTCCAGTTCATTTTGCTGCACAAACTGCAAACAATTGTGACAGCAAAAAAGGCAAATGTCTTAAGAGGGTTTTTGTGTTGTACATTAGGTGGTCACCAGGTAGAGTACAACTGTTGTTCAGGTTCTGTTATGCACAGTAAAATAAATCACTTCTTAAATCACTTCTGTGCTGCTGCCTTCATTCCTGACTTAGAAAGCACAAGGAGAAAGCATCAGATCAGTGTAAAACCACAGCAGGTAGTTGTCCGCTTTGATGAGCTACTAGAGATGTAGATTGACACTGCACGTTAGACTGCTTGTCTTTAAAAATGTCTAAATCATGATTGTGGCAGAATGAAAAGTGAGCAGTGGTCTGAGCGCAGCACGACATATACCCTCAAAAACAGGACATGGTGAGGTATTGTTGGGTCACAACAATCTGATGCAATGCTGCAAGCTTGGAGAAGAGTAGCTGGAAAGCTGCCTGGCAGAAAAGGACCTGGGGGTGTTGGTCAACAGCCAGCCAAATACAAGCCAGCAGTGTGCCCAGGTGGCCAAGAAGGCCAAGAGCCTCCTGGATTCTATCAGCAATAGTGTGGCCAGCAGCACTAGGGAAGTGATCCTTCCCCTGTACTCAGCACTGGTGAGGCTGCACTTCAAATACTGTGTTCAGTTTTGGGCCCTTCACTACAAGAAAGACTTTGAGGTGCTGGAGCGTGTCCAGAGAACAGCAGCAAAGCTGGTGAAGGATCTGGAGCACAAGTCTTATGAGGAGCAGCTGAGGGAACTGGGATTGTTTATCCTGGAGAAAAGGAGGCTGAGGGGAGACATTATCATTCTCTACAACTACCTGAAAGGAGGTTGTAGCAAGGTGGGTGTTGGTCTCTTCTCCCAAGTAAAAAGCAATAGGAGAAGAGGAAATGGCCTCAAGTTGTGCCAGAGGAGGTTTAGACTGGATATTAGGAAAAATTTCTTAACCGGAAGGGTTGTCAAGTATTGGAACAGGCTGGTGGAGTCACCATCCCTGGAGGTATTTAAAAGACATTCAGATGTGGTGGTTAAGGACATGGTTTAGTGGTGGACTTGGCAGTGTTAGGTTTACAGGTGGGACTCGATCTTCAAGGTATTTTCCAACCTAAATGATTCTATGATTGCAATCTGTATATTGCCTATGTTCTGAGCTGTTCAGTCAGGGAAATTAATTTCCCTTTCATGTGTATCTGGTCTGTAGAGCATTGGTGTTAACCTCATAACAGAACACCAACCTCCTTAAATCAGGCTAGGGATTTAATTAACAGTGCCACCATCTTTCTTCTGGAAACAAGTGTGACTGTATTTGCTCTTTCCTGTTCTCCTTCAGGGCGTTTGATGTGGAACTTCTTTATATAGCTCAGCGCTTGAGAATACCTATAGCAGAAGTTGCTGTCAACTGGACTGAAATTGAAGGTATGGAAATTGTTTGTACTCTTGTAAGATTCCTTACATGTCAATCCAGAATAAAATGTCTGAGGATCTTCCCATACTTCACACAGTTTCGATAACAAACAGCCTTCTTTCTGTACAAATTTTCAATTTCATGTCCTTGCCAGCCTTCTGACATGGCATGGTCCAGGGAGAGTAGATGACGGAGTAGCAAGGGAGAGAAACTCTGCACTCTCACTGGGGACAAAAGTAGGTAGTTACACTGCTAGGACAAAGCACTACTTTGGCACATCCTCGTGCTGTAATGTGTTAAAAATATTGCAATTGTAAAACACTGTGCAGGAAGTCTGACCATCATTGTTTCTTGATTGAACTCCATTTTACTGTGTCTTGCCTTCCAAAATTCTCAGCCCATCTACTAAGGCCTCCTTTAGTGCACCCTCTCTTCTTAAGATGTGATGTTCTTTCAGACCTGTAGGGAGATATCTGTTACTGGCTTACTGGAAAGTATAGCTCCAGACATATTTCTTCATAGCAAAGCCAGCCTAAGAGATACTGCTTGCTTCTGCTCACTTCCTCCCTCCTATCAAATGCAGTTCCTTCTTTTTTTCCCTTTCATGCTTTTTCTTTTTTTTATTCTGAATCTCTTCTCCTCAATACAACCTCTGAATAACAGAAAGTATAATAAACTGCAGTGGTGATGAAGGGTGCAAGCAAGTAGAGAACATCCTAAGCCAATACTAGAGTGCGGTCCCACATGTATATTGCACCTAACTCAAATGTGGAAGAGGGTTTGGTTTCACAGTGTGGGTTCCTTACCTTGCTTGAAGATTGACACATTCATGTTATTGCTGTAAGACAGCAAGTGGTGGTCCTCTTCTCCAAAGTCGCTAAGAAACCATTTGATTAATTATTGGTATTCAAATTCCTATTTACTTGAACAAAGCCTTGTCGCAGAGAAGACTATGCATCCTGTGACATGCATGGAATTACTGTGCTGCTTGCATGCTAGAATCTCCCACTTATGGTATAGTGTAATTGCTATAAGGTAATAACTTTTGCAATATAAATTTTTATTAATGTTAGGGTCTTGGTTGTGGGGGTGAATGTGCTGAGAATGCAGAGGTTCACGATTAAATGTGCGTCTTGCCGATGCTCATTTTTTCTAACAATGTCCTTCTGATTTTCTTCTTCATTAATCACAGGTTCTAAGTTAGTTCCCTTTTGGAGCTGGCTGCAGATGGGCAGGGATCTTCTTTTTATACGACTGCGATATATGACTGGTGCCTGGCAGCTAGAAACAAGAAAATGTAATTAGGTTATTTACATTTCCCAAATATATTATTATACTTAATGGAACATGAGAACAGTTTCAATCAAGTGAAGTGGTGATGAAAGCTGAGGTAATTCTTCATTGCTCTTGTATGTTTCACTTTTGCAGCATGTATGTGTTTTATAAGATTGTCAGCAGGGAATTTTTACAATGTTTTGAAAAGAGAAAGCATTTCCAAAAAGGTTTTCTTATCTGGTAATCAGGATTTTATTTTATTAAATAGTAGCTTTAACATGTCTTATAAATTCAAATAAATATATCTGCCTTTGCCTCATCATACATTTGGAATTTCCTTATACGTGTCAAAAAGAGCCACTCTATTCTGCAAGGTGCAATATTGTGTTGTGAATGACCACAACCATTTGTTTCTGTAGTATCTGGAAATTTGTGGCCATGTTGCAGCTTGGAATAATCAATCATGGTTCATGCTGATGTGTGTTTAGATTCAATGTTATGGGAAACATTAAATGTTATGGGAAACTGAATTATAACAGTAATGTTCGTAAGACTGTTATAGGAACTTTCAGTAGTCCCTTGACATTCCAGAGGTTTTTGTCTGAAGCTGAAGTAGTTTGTCTGAGATCAAACTGCAGATCATCTCCAGAATGTAGAAGGTCCAAGAGAAAAAGCATTTTTCATTTTAAAATGTTCGTCTTTTATAAATATGTTTTGTTCATATGTACTAATTAATACTGCATGCTCAAGGCTAGGAGTCCTTGGCATCTCCAAATCTGTAGTGAAAAGGTATGGAAAGCTAATTCAGAGCACACAAAAATGAGACCCAGTGTACACTGGGGCCTGTGCATTAGCAATGCCAATTTTAAGTTTTTATGCTTCAAATGAGATCAGAGAGGGAGGGGTCTCAAGTCTTTCTTAGTGATGTCGTACTCTGTGACAGTGCACAAGTTTCAATAGTGCTTTCAAAAGAGTTGTGGATTGCCAACGAACTAAGCCATTCTTTCAGAAACATGTACAAATTTGAATAGATTTGAAGAATGAACAGTGTATGGTTGTACTTTCACATATGATTTCACTGGTGGTTTTTCTTATTCCTTCTGCAATGCTGAGTTGAGTTTTGCCCCTGTTAGGGTTACCTCAGTTTTCTATAAATTGAAGTGTTGCAATAAATTCTCAAAAAGTATCTTCAGTTTGATTTCGCAGGCTTTATTCTCTTGCCTAGTCCATTTATATCTCTTATCTTTTCTGCAGAATCAGTCACATGACACTTCATTGTCATTGCTAGAATAAAATACCAGCTTCGCAGTTTTGGTAAAGTGAATTGCCCTCATCAACCCTGGACAATGACAGCTCTGCCTATAATTAATGAAAGTTGCCAACCAGTTCTCAAAAGCAGATTCCTAAAATTTTCTTCATGTCTTACCTTAAAATTGAGTTTATTTGAAATTTTAACCAAAATAGCTCATGTTTCTCAAATGGTGAGGTTTAGGTCACGCATTATTTTCTGCATGGTAAGTAAAGATCTGGTGACATCTTCAAACAAATTCTGCTTTTGAATTGGATGCCAAAGCTTGGAAGGGGGATGCTAAATTTATGGGGGTTTTTTTAATTAATTTGTGCATTTTCTACAAAGTTTTTTCAAAACTTTGCAGGTAAACTCTCCAGTAATTCTCTTCTTATTGAGCAGTCTCCTTTAGCAACTCTGCATATGTCATTCCAACAAAATACTTGGTATTTTCCACTTCAGAGATGCAGAGGTAAAGCTAGATTTACCATCTTTGATCTTTGTGGAGTTGGATGCTAGAACTTGTTGGCAGGAAGTTCTCTTATGCTTTCAACAGATTTAAACCATGGATAAAGGTCACTCCATGTCTTCATAGTCCAGAGTCTGCTCTCTGGCTCTGAGGTTGATAGACACGACAGTGGGGTCACATCCGTATGCCTACGTGTCCCTTCTCAGCTGCCTTTCAAAGCAGGCTTGCTACATCTAAACTGTTGGAGATAGTCCTTGACCTGCACTGACTGCCACACTGTGTCCGAAAATATTTTGAGAGCAGGGATAGGCAGCTGTGGGACACCTGGCACAGTGTAGTTCATTTGTGTAGGCATAGCCTGACGTGTTCCATTGCAGTGGGGCTAAAAGCTGAACTGGGATGAAAAAAAACAAAAAGAGTAGACTGAGACAGAAGGATAATGGGGAGAAACAGAAAAGGAGACTGATCTGGGACTGACATTGAAAGCCAGGGAGTGAAATGGAAGATGGGAAGTGCTGAGACTGCATGAGGAATGGGGTGGAACAGCAATTGCCTCGGCAAAGAGTCTGGAACAAGGGAATGGGGATGGAGACAGATCAGTTAAGGATGGAAAAAAGGAAGTGCTGCTAATGAGGGAAGGGGAATCTGAAGGGACTTGCTAAGCCAAGTCCTCCACAAGCACAGAGTTAGGACAGTTCGGATGAACTGCTTAGGGATATGGTTTAATAGGGGATTAGGGACGGTTGGACTGGATGATCTCTAAGGTCTTTTTCAACCTAGAAATCTATGAAATTCTATGAAATTGTCTAAAACAAGTTGGGACTGAGGATATAGTGATATTCAGTGTCTGAGCTGGAACCCAGGATGCCTTTTTCAGTATTTCTCAGTCATTATTTAATGGATCGTGAGCAGCCCTGAGGAGAAG